TCCTGCGGATCCTCCTCCAGTGCGACTGGTACCGCCGTTCGAAGAGGGTGACTCGACTGAGACGCCGTCTGCCTTGAGGTTGGAGATAGATTGGTCGACTAGACCTTGGATGTGGTCGATGCCTACTACTGTAGAGTGGGGAGCTAGATGATGGAAGACGGCGCATACTGTGGTGTGATACAGATTGGTCAGCCATCGAGTGGACTGATGTCTCAATGTATAGACTGAGATACATCAGAGGGGAATTATATGTGGATGACATCAGCGGCGAGTGTTACCAAAAAGTGATCAACGACGGTCCCACTTACAATATCCCGAACCGCTACCGACATCCAGTATAGACCGACTCGCAGTCCCCTCGCGATCCCTCTCGGCGGAGGGTAAAAAGGGGAGCAAATTCTCGCACGCGTGCGCGTGCATGTGTGGTGCGGAAATGGTCGCTCCGAAGCCGATGCGCCTGTAGGAAGGAACATAATTTATGGAAGTGAGACAAGCGAAGCGGGCGTTGAAAATGGATTTCATAGCCTCGACGGTTTCGTCCCGTCGCAAGATCAGTCTTGGCAGCCTTGAGCAGGCTAGCCCTTCATTGATGGATAGGAGTGGATAAATGACCGATACTCACTGTGGTGAATCTTCATATGCCCATGTCGGATCCGGAACGTAGTTCTTCCTATCCACCTTTCGCATCGCCTGAGCAGGGTGTGTGAGCTCATCGCTGATTCATCCATCGTTGGTTCATGGAGCTCGATGACTGTAGCTACTAGAATGATTTAGTAACGCTCTCTTCCAGCTCACCTCGGCTACTTTGGACGAGTTAATCAGCCCATTCTTCGCCATCTTATCGATAAGCTACACGAATCGGCCAGCATCACTCCCGAAGTCAGCGATACTCCTCCTCTCCCTTCTCCCGAGAAAGGCATGATGCAACGCAGCTTGCAAGTGCTCACATCTGCATTGCTACTGCCGCTCGACCGCCAAGCCATGTTGAAGAGCTTTCTGAGTGGATTCGGAATGGTGAAGAACAGGAGTAATAAGGTGACAAGGGATAGCAGATGAAGATGTCGCGTTGCGGATTGTTTCAACAGTGGATTAGCTTTTTGAGGATGAACGCGCTGGAGCTGAAGGTCGTAATGTTCTCTTGAATGGACTGGGCTCAATCAGGGCAGCTGTAGACACGCTTCGAACATCCTGAAGAGGCGAGTAAGAAGCCTACTTCCTCTGCATCTTCCTTTCGCAACAGTCCGGCTCACTCAGTGACGTGGGATGATGCACTTCTCACCATTCCACCGGCAATCACATTCCTCGGGAACAGTGATCCTCCTCCACCCTGCGTTCTTTCCCACGCTTGCGTCTACTTTTGCTTGTGGGATCAGCGGTGCATGCCGCCTGTATGTAACAACGGTGGCAGGGTCTGTGCGCAAGCGAAACTTGAAGGTGGAGGACGTCCAGTGTTGGGAGATTTGATACTCCACTATCTTCCTATCGGATAATGTCAAGACCGGCACCCTTCTCGTTTCTCACTCGTCTTGTCTGTTTGCCCTTATTTCTTCTCCATCCACTCTGTTTGTCTTCCCAATCCTTACCATGTCCACTGTACCCATGTGTATGTGTATCATCCGATCAGTCGTCAAGAATTTGTTGTTGTATTAGTATTCGATTACCCCCAGTTCTCGGTACTCGACTCGCTTTCGCGATTGCCTCGTACACGATACCTCCGCAATGTTCAGCTTCTTCTCTTCCAAGACCTGCCCCCCTCCCTTCTCTTTGTCGTCTCGGAAGGAGTCCTCGTGTCAGTCAACACAGTCCTGCTCGTCAACGTCGGCTGACACGTCCCCGTCCTCGAAGCTGCCTCCACAATCAGTGGCCTCGGCCGGACCCAACAGAGAAGATGCTCCTCGGTTCTTCTCAGCAACTCCGGTAGGACTTCCGATAGTCAGCAACGATGACCCAAGCTCAAGTCTCACAGCAGCAGTCGATGCGGACCAAGTACCTGAGATCAACCAGCTATTAGGGTCAATGATCGCCCTCATCGTAGCTCAAGGTAGAGCTATCAAAGCCAGCGAGCAAAAAGACTTGACTTTCCAAACTCTCATGGACCAGAAGCTCAACTTGCTGACCGGCAGGGTAGCTACTCTCAGGGCTATTGTCGGGTCCTTGCCTCCGAAGTCTAGATATAACGATCGATTGCAATTTGTCGATAAGAGGCTTCGAGCGGTGGAAGATGGGGTGCAAGATCTCGCAAGAGCCTCTGGTCCGAAAGGCAAGGCGATTCTCCGAGATGGAATTATGATGAGAAATCCGGGAGATAAGGGTTCATCACCTCACGCTGAAAGGTTTTTCACATTGCCCATATCCTTCGACTCTCTCAACTCAGCGGATGTCAACATTAGGATTGATGACGAGGTTCCCAGCTGCGGTCTTATGGACTACGATGACAGCACTGTCCAAATCAGCATCACACCAATGACTCCGACAATAACTCATGGCGGTAGCCAGACTCAGATCACGAGTGCTGCACTAGAACGCGATCTTCTTCCCTTCAATCAAGTAGGGTTGAGCCTGGTCGACCGAGCTATCCAAGCTGAGAGAGAGAAGCTGGGTGATGCTAGTGTCCTGGCCGAAGGAGAGAATACGGTAGGCTTCCATGTACGCAAAAGGGTAGTCAAGAAGAGGAAGCGGGATACTTTTGAGTTAGCTAATTTGTCTCGTTCCGCCACTATCCTGACTAAGCTCATGGGATGCTTTCACTTCGGCCTGTAACTGACTAATCTTTTCGCGCAGACTCGACATGGGATTTTTAGACAACGTTTCCATCGACGAGAACGCAATCATCCAGAATAACGATCCGTATGAGGCATACATGAACGCTTCTCAGCTCTCGTCGGGGATCGAAGATCTGCCTGAGTCTCTGCCCTCAAGATCTGCTTCGACCATTCCTGATACAATGACGACTCGGCAAAGAGGCAAAGCTGGGGAGAACGGGTGGATCCCCTTTCCGACGCAGATGCTGCGCCAGAAATCTGTATCTGTCTCTCCTAGCTTCTCTTCCGCCGACTCTGAAGACAGCCACCTGACAGCAGATAGACGGGGCGTGTCGCTTGTGGAGGATAAGCTGTTAGCACCTGGAGGACCGAGCCCCAGCAAAAAGAAGGGCAAGAAGGGAGGAAAGAGGAAGAAGAGGAAACGGGGGTCCGTTTGGCCTGCTTTTGGGCCAAATACCGTGAAGACGAGGATGGTGAGCTCCTCACATGTTCTGCGTCTCTGGCCGTAATCCTGAAGCTGACATGTGTGAACAGGAGGAAGTCGTTTGCGATAATGTGAGCTATCTGCTTATCATTTTCCCTCTCTACGTGACGGTGGAATAGGGCTGCTATAGCTGACGTCAATCAAAACAACCTTCACGGCAGTGTTCTGGCAGGTGAGTAATGCGATCAGCCGAGATCCTTCAGAAAGATGCGTCCCGATCAAGCCTTGTCACTAACTACAGATCCTCCTGGACACGTTGTACAGAGTACATTACGCCTGTGCTGGGCCTTTACGAGGCAAAGACATGAATAAGGAGCCGTGGTCATGCCCCGATTGCATCTGGATTCTGACTCATGCCTTCGATGACGAAGAGGTCGAGATACCTGAGGCTCAGCAAGAGAGGTGTCTTAGGGAAGACTGTATTTATCGGTGCGTGACACGATTGGCTGACGTACGAAAGCGTACAGCCTGGCTGTTGGCGGTCTGTATGTATGATTAGCTAATCATGGCCCAGCGATATAGATCCGCTACGAAGATTGTGCGAAAGAATGACGATGACAACGAATTCTTCATGGAGAAGATAGTGGGGTGAGCTGCCCGTCTCCGCTTTGACCGACGGGTTGGGAGAAATTGCAGCTGACCGTTTCTTGTTTCCTGACAGCCGAAAACGGCTACGATGGGAGGCCAACGGCGAGGCTACCTATGTCTACCTTGTAAAATGGTATGACTGGGCCCTGTACGACAGTACATGGGAGCCCCGATCCAATATCCCAAACATCAAGCGTCAAGAAGCCCTTTTCCTACAAGAGTTACGCCGACAAGGGACTGAGTCGGATCCAAGGGAGAAAGTAGTTCTACTGCCCGAGGTGGAGAGGTGGTTTGATCATAAGGGGCAGTATAGGATCGACGTATTAGAGGGACTTGGGATCGACAAGCGATGCTGGTGGGAGACTTGAGGGGAACGGTGGGATGATGGGGTAGAGGAAAGAGGTAGGAGCTGTGGAAGACGATGTAGGGGTGCATTACGTATGATCAGCGGGAGAGGTGTTTGTCTGTCTTTCTTGGGGGAGCACTCGATCATGGACAATCACTCTTAACTTTGTATGACCTTTCCCAAGAGGTCAAGGGAGCGAGCGGCATTGCCAGACGCCTTCGGGCCAGATCCGCGGTAGGAGTCGATGTCAAACGTTCTTGTCGTACAACCAAACATCCGAAGAACGCCTCTAGAGTACAAGTCCTCCTAATCGTGACCATTATCAGCCTTGAGGTAGGGTACTCGTATAGTAGGAGTACATAACAGATGAGCAAGTCTATACTGCGATGCTAGTACAGCATACTTTACATATAGTCAATAGCTGTTATGATCTTACGAGTATGAGTAAAATGTGAACAATTCTGGAGTGATGGAGTAAGTAGCCATCGGTCGGACGCAGGATACCTCTGTCCGATCTCGTTGTTTCGCGACACCAAGCCAACGACCAAACGCCTCACACCGTCCTGACCACCCAAAAGCACAGCTTACACTTACATCCATGCGCTCGCCATTCTGGGAGAGCGCCGTTCCCGTACCATAGGCCATGTACATCACAAGCGGGCTCTGGTTCTGTGTCCAGGTCGGTACAGCAAGCATGCATGCGTGAAATGAGCAGAAGGTGCTTAACCAGTGCGGTGGTAGAATTGCAGATGCGATGCACTCATTACATGATTTCGTTGAGGTAATTATATTGAACGCAAAAAATCGGTTTTTCGTTATCGGCTCTATGGCGCAATTGGTAGCGCGTCAGATTCCAAGCACTAAGCCGCCTCATGATTTAACCCTTTCGAGGGTTATTGTTGTGAGGCACAATTCATATCTGTAGGTTATCCGTTCGAGTCGGGTTAGGGTCATAAACCTTTTGCCGGTTGCGCGTGTGATTTTAGGGTGTTTTTTTTTTTTTTTTTTTTTTTTTTTTTTTTGGGTTTGTTTGTTTTCCAGGTTCATGATCTGCACGTATGTCATAAGTTTCATGCTTGCTGTGGCCTGAATGTCATTTTAAATAACATAGCCGACCGACATGGGCTTTTTCGCAACCATGTTGTTACCATTACAAGGCGTCCGTCGTTTGGTATCTAGAGTGGCTCCACCGCTCAAGTGTTGGTGGTCTTCGTCCCTTACCACTTCACGACGAAACAAGCTCCTTGAGTTATCGTTGTGGACCGAACTCTATGACGTCCATCGATGAGCTGAAGTGAAGGAAGTGAAGTGATAGCGAGATCTCGATATGATAGGACTGAGCGATTGACTGTCCTGTCCTGCATCTCATGAGGAAAAGAGTCAACGCCTGTTAGGTATCGCTCATCATTCATTTCCCGACCGACATGAACGTGACCACTATAGCAGACGTACTCATAGTTACAGGAGAAAGTCAAGAGACTACACAGGGGATAATTCGTCCTCGGATTCTCTCGAGAACCAACTACTCTCTGTACACTGCAAGGGATGAAGACTGTACGAGTACGAGTACAGTGTGTCTCACTACTCGTGTTGTCCTCACGAGAGACTATCAATGATACATACAGATCTAAAATCTGGATCCAGATCGAGACGCCAAGCCTACAGACTAGCTGCCTAGCGACTACGAATTGAAGTCCCAACTACTACCGGAACTCAACATCGGTCCCTGTCCCTGCCCTTGTCCCTGCCCCTGCTCTTGTCCTTGTCCCGCTCCAGCGCCGCCACCACCGCCACTGGCTTGACTCTGACCTGGTTGCGATCCATTGCTTACACCTCCACCCATACCGTATTGACTCAACAGGCCCAGTTGCTGCGCCAGTCCATGCTGAGATATACCCCCCGCACCACCACCACCGGCCATTCCTGCTGGATTGTTGCCTCCTCCCATCGCTGATAAGAATTGCTGGGCATTCATCCCCATGCCCATGCCGGCAATGGAGGGGGACCCGAAATTATTGTTATTACTGTTGTTACCGCTACCATTGACTCCAGCGGCGAAAGCTTGATTCTGAGCAGCTTGCAAGCTATTGAGCTGGGCCGGATTGAGCCCCATCAATCCCATTTGAGCAGGGTTGAGATTAAAGTTCATGCCTCCCATGCCAGCCATCCCTGGCATTGGCATCCCCATGCCCGCTTGACCTGGCTGTTGCTGTTGACCCGCATTCCGATTCACCATAGCCATGTTGAATTGAGCAGGGTTGAATCCGCCTCCTGCTCCCGACCCTGCTCCTGTCAATTGCGAAGGGTTGAATCCTCCCATGTGGCCTTGGCCCTGCGGGCCTTGGCCACCTTGTTGAGCAGATTGTGCGTGGTTGTGGTTTTGCTGCTGCTGTTGGCTCAGCATAGCCAGTTGGGCGGGATTGATCTGGCCCGAAGCTTGAAGTTGCTGTAACGATGCGAGGAAATTGGGATTCATGCCGGTACCGCCCCCGCTCATGAGGCTACTCATAGGATTGTTCAGTGCTTGTGCTGGATTAGAAGACATAGGCGTATTATTATTGTGCGGCATGGGAGAAGCTGATATCGTTGATGACGATTGCGAATTCGGCAGACTTGGTCGACCGCCTAGAGCACTCGACGAACCGATCGAGCCGATCGATCCTGGATTGCCGAGACCGAGGTTCGATTGCGCTTGCGCTTGGGTCGAAGTTGGCGTCTGATACTGCTTTTGAACCGAGTTCGAAGTCGAGTTTGAGTTTGAACTGGATTTGGGACCGCGCGATTGGCCGCTCGCATTCTGTGAATTCGTCTTGTTGGCGATTGATCGTTGTCTGATCTTCTCCCTCATCTTCTCGTACTCTGACATCGGCGGTTTCTCGCCTTCGACGGCTTCGGTCGCTGATGCTCCTCCTACTACGGCTCCCTCTGAGCCGACTCCGGTACTGATAGCTGTGTCGGGGCCAGTAGCAGCTGACTCATCGGTTTCCTTCTTTGTCCTCTTCTTCCTCTCAGCTTTCTCCTCGGCTGAAGTATCATCACCATGACCATGACCGTTCAGCTGTCGACGCGCACCCTCGTCCACATCATCTTCTCCATCCTCATCGCCGTTTTCGCTCTCATCATCTTCTTGCTCTTGTTCTTGCGTGAGATGCTGCGACTGCCTTCCAGTATTTGCATCGTCCCTCAACGACAATCTCCTTCTCTTCATTGGGGATTTATTTCCCAGCCCATCCTCCTCAGGTCCATCCTCCAGAGCCCTCTTCGCACTCAAATCCTCCCCTTTGCCCGCTTCTGCCCCTTCCACTTCTCCATCCTGACCTGCTGTTTGGTTCCCGACTTCGCCAGTTGCATCGTTATGCTGCGCCACATCTCCGTTCGTTTGCGTCGTTTTGGGTTTGGGCTTGGGTATATGTACGGGTACATCGGGTGGCTCTTTGCCCTGGGTGTAGTAATTCGAGGAGGATTTATCGTATAGAAGAGCTTGGGTAGAGTAATCCCACTGCGGGCCTCTTGCTTTTCGCGCTGATATCAGGAGAGAGTTCCTGCGAGGGGTACATGCAGATCCGTCAGTGAACCAGCGTAGAAGAGTATCATCGACCCATATCATGCTTGGGGAAGAACACAAGAAAAGGAAGAAAGAGTCGGTCAAAGGCAGATACAACAAGTCTGACTTCGTCCCGGGATCTGGATAACAGCTCGACAAGACCTCTGCAGCTTTGTCGAGACGCTCAAGGAACCTAATTTATCGGATCGAGAATTCAAGGAAGCAAAACACTTACCAATAACTCGCACTACCCCTTATCGCCTCCCTGTCTTTCTCCGTCAATCGCACCTCGCCCTTCTTCCCGCCCGCCGCTGCAGCAGCAGCATTGGCAGCTGCCAGCTCTTCCAAGGGGGAAGGTTCCGGTATCTCCCCATTATCAATCATCTCTTGTTCCCTTGCGATCTCCGCCAATCGCTTTGCACGCTGCTTCCAATGTAAATGACTCAGATCAGGTATCTTCAAAACCCTTCTGACAGGTGTCGAAGTCGCCGTTGCGGCTGTTGATATGGGCGTGCCAACCGCGTCGGGCGTACCCGGTGCCCCTAGTGGTACCCCCGATGATGTGTTCTCAGCAGACGCAGGTGCAGATGCAGATGGCGTTGCAGGCGTCGTCAGAACGGGAGCGGGAGTTTCCTCTTCTTTCACCTCTGGCGCTGGTGTCGGGGTAGGTGGTTTAATAGCAGGTTTCGGCGGTAAACCAAGATGTTTCACTCTGTATTCTTCTAGTTGCTCCGGATTCAGGTATGATTCAAGATCGAATTTCTGACCCCGCTCAGATGCGATTTTCTTGGCTAGTAACAGTACTTCGAGAGTCGGTACAGGCAGAGGGGGTATGATATTGCGGGTAGAAACGGCGGGTTTGAGCGTTGTTGCGGGATTAGGACCAGGACCAGGGCCAGAAGGTACTGTTGTTGTTGTTGTATATGAGGTCGATGGGGGCGGTAGGAGGATTGAGATGGTTGAAGGTGGATTTGAGCGCGGCATTGTGAATAAGTAATGACGAGGATAAGGTTAACTTGCTTCCGGGGTGGTCGAGGGGAATGAAGGGTAGGTGGATGCAGTGATATCTATGATGCGCTCATCTAAGCCAGAGTGATAGTGACAGTGGTGGTGCGCGTCGTTGCTGTCGGACGGTTGCTGAGCGAAACACGTGTAAAGATGGTGGTGGTGATGGTGATGGTGATGATGATGATTATGATGAGGGTGATCCCTCTGGATAATGTTGATTTTGAAGTTGACGATACACGAAGACAGTCTGTACTAGTGCTAGTGTCCTTACCGATGCGGTCTTTCTGACGGACTGAGAGGATGCGAGAATATCAGAAGCTAAAGTAGCAAGAACATTGATGAAATGATCGTTAAGTTATCGGTTGAGGATTAAGGACCAAATACAAGCAAACGATACGCCGGAATGGGATTCGAACAGAGCAAACACAAAGAGAGAGAGAGATCCTGCCTGATAACACCTCTTCCCGAGGTACATGAATTATGAATAGCTATCAGGCTCACAGCTCACTGGTTCATCTCGCAGCTCGACGCGTTCGTTCAACTTATTCGCAATCAGATTGCGATGTATGAATGCAAAGCATGCATCCATCCATTCAACTGCCTCGTCCTGGTTGGTCATGGATATGCCTTTTCGACATTAAGCATCATCGATACGTGGTCGGATCAGGTCACGCTCTCGCTCTCGTCGACACCAGCCATGATCTCTTCAAACAGCTAGCTAACTGACTGACCGTCAGCAGATATATGGATTAACGACCTCAACGACTGAACTGAATATACGATCACAACTTAACAATCTCTTCCCGTCTCTGCCTAGAGACGGCCCCCTGACGACGACCAACGATCGCCGTTATACGCTTCCAACTCTTATCATATGCGCTACCATCCTCCCGCAACAAAGCTTGAGAACCCAGCCGATGATATAGTGTCTGTTTCGAAAAGACGCTCAACGGTGCATTCTCGCTCTGCAGCCATGAACACGGAAAACAGCATAGCCGGGCCTTCAACGTACCTTGCTCCGAGGCATGAGCGTATCTTAGGACAGGCTTATCGCTCAGAAGCGCTCAGTGGAGAGAATGAGGCCGGAGCTCAACTCTCAAACGAGGAACATTCCGAACGCGAATACGTCGATGACCGTGAAGAGCCTCTCGATACCAGTTGTAGCCGATCACCGCCAAAATTCTCGTGTGTACCCACCAAGTATGGTGATACCGACAAGCGCTTGTCATGGACATGGGCTGGGCCACATAGCATACCTTGCAGGCCCACGGCGCTCCTCAATAGCGACAGACGGAGGGGAAGGGGTCGGCGGAAACGGCTGAAACCGTCCAACATGAGTCGCACCCTCACTCTCGGCCCAATGTACATATTCTTGTTCTTTCTAGCTGTCGCGCTACTTCT